ACATAGGGGAATTTTAGATTTACATACAAATTAGACTCATGTACCCTTGACCCTGTGCTATGGTGAATTATTGTGCTATACACAATAACATGAAAAGGAAAGTTCTGATAGGACTCTATGTAGTCCTGCAAAAAACTAAATGCACCTTCACTATTTCCACAGGAACTGAGAAGGTAAATAGCAGCTAGATACTACTAATAATACGTCTTTAAATGAATAACTAATTAAATAATCATCAGCAAGTGGGACCACCTCTATAAAGTAGAGGTTTTGGGAGTTTTAACACAGTGCCACACTTCCCTGCATGCCCAGGTGTCAAATGTGAAATTTTATGATATTTCATTTAGAAAAGGACCAAACTTGCTTGAAAGGAAAAAGCCTTTCTGCAAAGAACCTGGCAGCATGCCTTAGGTTTGCAAAGTTGCATCTTTGCAAACCTAAGCAAAAACCCCTTATACCAGTTGTCAAGCAGTGGTGGAGGGGTGATGATTTGTGCTTGTTTAGCAGCCACAGCCTCTGAGATCCTTGTAGGCACTGAGATGACCATGAACTCCTCTGTATACCAAAATATTCTAGTGTCAAATGCGAGGTCATCTGCCTGACAGCTAAAGCTTAGCTGAAATTGGCTCATGTAACAGGACGATGGCAGTCATTCACAAATGTGCATGGAAACGTTCTTACCCTGAGCAAAAAACAAGTGTGCACTCAAAATCTCTATCAGAGTTATGAAATGTTGGCAATGGAATATTTTGTTCTTACCCCCATGGATATGTTCTGAACCAACAGGGCTTATGCAGTCTCCATATTATCTGCATACTGCCATGCTCCCATTTCTCTACACAGAAAAATAAAAAAAGTAAGAAAGTGGAGACAATACATATTTCCTCATATAGAGATTTAGAATTCTGATTAACATATAAACTATTGTATGAACAAAACAAGCTGTTGGGAACGTTTCCTGAGCCTGATTCTAATTTTGCATGTGCAAATATGAGAGCTAACAATCACCTTATAAAAGTCCAGTCAGTCAATCAACTAATTTGTAAATATCATCATCATTTCATTTACTAAAGCTTATCACGTTGTTTTTATGGTAATAAGTGGTGATATGGTATGGTAATAAGTTACTTGACAGGTTAAGTCTGCCATATTACTTAGTTTATTCAAATAAAACATTTCCCCCTTTCCTTACAGGCCTTTCTCCTGGTTTTGCCAATAAAGCTGAGGGGACAGTTGTAAGATGGTATGGCTGACTGGAACTTGTTAGGGAAGCTGCTGGAAAGTGCTCAAGAGCACTCCACTGTAGTGGGCAAAGTCTGGCTGACGGTGCTGTTCATCTTCCGCATCCTGGTGCTGGGGGCTGCTGCTGAGAAGGTGTGGGGCGACGAGCAGTCCAGCTTCACGTGCGACACCAAGCAGCCGGGTTGTCAGAACGTCTGCTATGACACGACCTTCCCCATTTCTCACATCCGCTTCTGGGTGATGCAGATCATCTTTGTCTCCACGCCCACTCTCATTTATCTTGGTCATATCCTTCATTTGGTCCGCATGGAGGAGAAGGAGAAGCAGAAACAAAAGGAGCTTGAAGACCAGCAGCAAGTATTCTGCCATAAGGACAAAAAGCCCTCAGTTAAAGACAAACAGGGCCACGCACGTTTACAAGGTGCGCTACTGCGGACCTATGTCTTCAACATTATTTTTAAGACCCTGTTTGAGGTTGCGTTTATTGTAGCTCAGTATTTTCTATATGGGTTTGAGCTCAAGGCCATGTACACCTGCAACCGCTGGCCTTGCCCAAACATGGTGAACTGCTACATCTCCCGCCCCACTGAGAAGACAATCTTCATCCTTTTCATGCTGGCTGTGGCCTGCGTCTCACTGCTGCTCAACCTGGTGGAAATGTACCATCTAGGTTTTACAAAGTGCCACCAGGGTCTTCGTTACAGGAGTTCAAAAGCCGCACGTGAAGGTTCCAAAGCCCTGAGTGAGCCGGTCATGCCCTTTGTCCCAAACTATAACTACTTTGGAGGTCATTCTGCTGTGCCTGAACTTTTCCCTACAGACTCAAAGTACAGCATGCCAGAGCCAAACTCTTCTTACAGCCCCTACAACAGCAAGGTGGCCTACAAGCAGAACAGAGATAATATGGCTGTGGAGAGGAAAGGCAAAGCGGAAGAAATTGATACAAAGGGGAGAAAAATCTCCAGTCCTGTCCTTGAGATGTCCATCGAAAATCAGCGCAGAAACAGTCAGTCAAGCAAGCACAGCAACTTCAAGAGCAGGATGGATGACCTGAAGATCTAAGAATCTACTGAATATTAATGCAAGAAGACTCAGGAAAAACTGGAGACACCAACATGTAATAATATGTAAAATATGAGTGTGAAAGACGTTAGAAGAAAAATGAGGTAAACACAAAGCAGATAAAAGTCTGGAAGCCAAGATTTAAGAGCACTCAGGGAGACACGCTGGAGGCAGAGCATGTGTAAAGTATTGTGATTATCATGTGAAAAATAATAACAGCAGGCTTCAGTGAAAACATCTTACTTCTACTTAACTTCAACTGGAGGTTGATCTGATATCCTCGTGTTGGTGTTGTTCCCAGATCATCATACTAAATGTTGTTCCAGGATCAACATTGCAAGTGACCAATCAGAATGTTGTGACGTCATACTTTTGCGACTTCGGGAAAAAACCGGCGTAAAACAAAAAACTGTACTTAAGCTGCGTGAAACCGCCTCTGTCCGCCGATCAACGGACCCTGACCCTAAACCCTTTAATAAACGTAAGCAGAATTGATATTGTCCTTGCAACATTGGAATTTCATAAATGCACGAATGGCTTGGCGCGCAAAGGAATAATGTCACAACAATGTGATTGGTCGACTTGCAATGTTGAACCTGGAACAACATTTTCATGATGGTCTGGGAACAACACCAACACGAGGATATCAGATCATCCTCAACGGTTGGAGCCATTTCTTAGATCAGATAATCTCCTTAAGTTAGTAACAAGGAAGCTCATAAGAAAAGAGCAAGTGTTTAGAAAGCTGGTTTAACCTCATGACACTATTTTACTTTGTTTCCACTCTGAGTCTGACAGATACATGACCAGGGGTCCGTTCTTCGTACCTCGCTTACTACATCCAAGATCAAATGACAACATCCAAGATCAAATCATCGCGCTAACTTTGAGCTCGCTATTCCGGTTCTCCGAACACACCTGTTGTTGACGATTAGTATAGCTGATGAAGTAATGTGAGATCACTGGGTGGCTTAACAGGGGCTACGCATCGATAGTAGAAACATTGATCGGCAACCCTTTGATTGGTCGGCGAAAATGTCGAAGGAGCGCGCTCTATTTCGGCAGCAGAGCAAGAACTCTTGATTGAGGGATTTCAGGAGTTTCAGAGTTTAATTAAAACGCAAGGGAACACTGCAAAGGCTGCAAAAGCAAGGAGAGAGGGCTGGCAGAAAGTTGCTGACAAATTAAACTCGTAAGTAATTATAATAATAATAATAATAATGGATTGGATTTATATAGCGCTTTTCAAGGCACCCAAAGCACTTTACAATGCCACTATTCATTCACTCTCACATTCACACACTGGTGGAGGCAGCTACGGTTGTAGCCACAGCTGCCCTGGGGCAGACTGACAGAAGCGAGGCTGCCATATCGCGCCATCGGCCCCTCTGGCCAACACCAGTAGGCGGTAGGGTAATTTATTATATTATATATTATATTATATTATATTATATTATATTATATTATATCCTCCTTTCACATTAGAGCCACAACAGGACCCACTAGAACATGGGAACAAGTAAAAGTGAAATATAAGAATATTCTACAGAATGGTAATATTTATCACTTATATTGCTTTTAGTCTCTTGAGAAAGAGACCCTGAAATAATCTTGTTTGTTTATAACAGCAACCAAGAAAAGGGCAGAGCAAAAAAAGACAGGTGGTGGTCCTGCACCCCCTCGTCAACAAGTTGGTTAAGTAAATAATACCCTCACGGGAAAATCGATATCTCTCTATGAGCACACTGTCGCGCTGAGCTAAAGGATCCTGTCTAGTCCCGCAATATACGCTGAATTCTGAAGACTCTCCTTATCAATCTTGCACCTTCCGCAATGGGTGGCTCGCGTATACGGACAGGACATGGCTGCGACAGCTTCCCAAATCCACCTTCGCTTTTATAGCCGTGGTCTCTCATCTTGATTACACGAAGTAATTTACTATTACTACTCTAAAATATGAATTACATCTGAAATAATCAAATACATGAAATAGAATGATTAATAGTACATTTCCCTTTTTTTAGGAAATGACCTGTATGTATCTGTATGAAATCAATAAAAGAATCAAATACTGCATTATCTTTAGTTACATTGATAATATTTATTTATGGTAAAACAGTGGTAAAATATCGCTGTTGCTTTCGTATAAATGAAGCGGACATACCTGAGTGGCCGCGATCTAATCCTGTTTACATAAAGTAAGCCTGCTCCCGAGCAGGTTTACGCTTACGGATCTGTTGCTATGACAGCAAGTCCCGGATGAGCTTCGGGGAACCGAACGATCCACGATCACGCGAAATCGTCAACAATCAAATCCAGCTAACTTACTTAGCGAGGTACGAAGAACGGACCCCAGGTAACTCAAAACGTTTTTGTTTACAGCTGTATTACTTAAATGAGTACTGTGAGATGAGAATAGAAGATAAAATAAGCTATACTGGACTAATAAAAATGTTTTACTGAAAGAAACTGTGGTTTTTCCCATGTTATTGATTGTTGCTTTTATTGCTTAAATTACTGCAAAAATATTTGCTTATTGATGAGGATTTAATACAGAAAGTACTTATGCTGGGATACAGGCTTCCTTGTATTGTATTTCTGATGTACTTTGATTAAAAGCCCCAAAACAAACAAGTGTTTTTTCAAAATCCCTGTTTCAGAATATCAGATGTACTCAAGGATCAAAGTGGGATTTCTATGTTTCTTTTAGCATAGTGCTTCTGGGTTCATTAGTGCTCGTTTTGTCTGGAAATGTATTTGTACTCTACTATCGTAATTAACTTTACTTGGGTGGCTGTATCTCAGGAGGTAGAGCAGGTCACCTACTGATTGGAAGGTTGGTGGTTTGATCCTTGGCTCCTCCAGTCTGCATGTCAAGTATCCTTGGGCAAGATACTAATCCCAACTTGCTCTCCGATGCATCCATCGGAGTGTGAATGTGTGTGAATGTAGTTAGATAGCACTAAGTATAGATAAAGTGCTTGTGAGAATGGGTGTGATTGGGTGAATGTGGCATATTGTATAGAGCGCTTTGAGTACTATAGCTACTTTGAGAGTAGAAAAGCGCTATATAAGAATCAGTCCACTTACCATTTATTTCATATTTTACTATTGAGAAGCACTTTGGTGTACCTCTGGTCTTTAAATGTGCTATACAAATAAAGTATTGATTGATTGATTATTTGATTTGACAGGTTGCAGAATTTTAAAACTGAATTAAATTTTTCTTTCTTCTTTGTACAGTTTGTGATCAGGTAATACGATACTCACTGCTCTTTGTGAATTTTCACAAGATAGTGGGAAAAATGTTTCATCACTCATCCAAATGACTTCTTCATTCTCAGAATTGAAGTGACAAATATTTCTCCCACTGAAAACGTTACGTCCAGATGAACAGAATCAACCTTTTGGGATTTACTTACCTGGATAATTGAGTATAAATCAAAATATATTTCAATTTGTTTAGCAAGACATCAAGCCTTTTCGTAATTTGAAAAAAATAAGTATATAAAAACAAAAACCTATATTGATGTCACATACACACTTTTGCAGCTTTTATAGAATGCAGTCAATGATTGTGTGATGCAAATGAAAGTTTTAGCCATACAAAATGTATTAATAATCTCACAGCACAGCAAATGTCACAGTTCCAGAGCCAAACAACAGCAACTTGACATTCATGCAGGCCTCATATGAGATGAGTAATACTACAGGGATTATGAAACCGTTCATTCACTTAATTTGTAATTAATATGTGCATTATGTTTAGATTTCAAGTATCTGGAAAGTGTGATCGGCAAAGTTTGGTTTGGATAGTCATGGCATTGTGAAGGTTTTAGTCTTTCAGTGGATGAAGCCTGAGAAATGGTTTGCATACATCCAAGGCAAATCCTTACAGGATATGGTCAGTGGGGCAGTTTGCTGGTGTACTTAAAGTCTTACTTAGTTTAATCGCTGAATACTATGCTGCTCTGAGTGTTCGAAGTTAGCCTATGATGCAACATTTCAACATTTGAATACTGATGGGACCTGGGGGGTTTTCTGCCCAAGAGCTGTGTTGCAATGTTAACTCAATCTGCAGTATATCAGTGCAGCCCTGCTATTTTCTTTTACAAGAGGCTGTCACATTAGCTGCTCGGTTTCCACCAGCTGCACCAAGACATACAGATTGAGGACAGTGTGGATGGACCCATTTCCAAAACACATGCCATCATACTGGTGAGAGCTATGCTTCAAAGGCTTCCTGTCTCCAAGCCCAAAATAACTCACTTGCACACTTGGGGGAGGATTGTGGGTGAAACTGTGGGTAGGGAACCAAAATAGCAGTCTGTTGCAAACTAAAATAAATACAGAATAGACAGTTCATCAAATTATGAAGCTGCACGTATGCTTGGTAAATCATGATTCATTTAGCCAAACACTGATTGGACTTCAAGGGCAGTCTGTTCATTCATTCATTCATTCATTCATTCATTCATTCATGTATTTGTTAAGAACTGTAAATATTCAGTAGCTGTAAATGAAAAAGTTTTGTAGTTTATTTGATTTGAACTTTTTATCATATGTATTTTATGATCACAAGTCATACTGAGAATGATCATATTTTAAACATCAGCAGCATCATGCTGGTTTAGCCATGACAAGGGCATGATCTCCGCTAAGGCAAATGTTATAAACCAAAATAAAATCTCTCAGATTTCCAAAGCAGGAAAATCTTCCTTGACAGACCCAACGGGAAACTGAACAGGTGACAGGGGTCATTAGGTTATGAACTTTGGGCTAACAACCATATGCAACCAAATCTCTGAGCCAGAATAGTATGCAGAGACCATTCATTATAGAGTGCCACTGTTCCTCATAAATCAGGCTGACAGTTCACGCTCTTGGACAAGTCAAGGATGGGACCTTTTACTGCAAAACTGATGACTTATTGTGGGCCTTGTCATATGACCCTATGTTTTTATGAATTCATGCTGTGTTACAGACCAGGCTTTTACACTAATGCAAAAGACTCATATCATGCTTCTTTTTCTGAAAGTCACTAAAAGGTGACCTTCAACACCCCAACATACTGTACATATCATGTAGGAGGCCAGAAAGTAGGCAACTGTTTTGAGCATGCTCTACTGTCTAACAGCATTGTATTCCCACCACACACCAATGCTTTTAAAGCACTCATTTACTGTTCAAGAAACTGTGTGCATTATAGTATTATATTCTTGTAAAATAGTTTCCCAGACACCATACAAGAGGGGAAAACTTTTAGCTTTTTGTGACCTGATGTCGAAGGGAAAATGCCAGTAAGGTAAATATTTC